CGCACGCAGGCTCCGCGGGGCCGGAGCCGTGCACGCCCGGTCCAGCCTGGTTGCCGGGGAGGTCGGGTAGCCGCGCGGGGCACCCGCCCCTCCGACCCCCGCAAAGACCTGTGCTTGCGGGAGGGAGCGCCGGCGGCTCTGCGGTCTGGGAGGAGCTCGCCGGGCGGCGCGGGAGGGTCCCGCCTGGCGCGCCCGCCTCCCCTTGGGCTCGGGCGGCGGGTTGGCCTCGGGGGCTCTCTGGCTGCACTCGCCTGCACGAGTTCTCTACTGACTGGTTTCCTCGGTTTGGGGACTGTTCCCGCCAGCGACGCCGGAGCACCTTGCCGTGTGTCCGCAGGCGGGCGGGCTGGCGTCCCGGCCGCCGCCGCTTCTGGATCCCGGCTCTGCTCACCGCCCCTGACCCTCGAGGCTCCCCGGCCTCCGGCCTCGACGCGAGGGTGCCGACCTAGCCCCGTCTGCCCCTCTAGGAGGGAGTGCGGTCCTCGAGGGGCGCTGGCCTCCCAGGACCTTCTTGGTGTGCCTCGGGACTGGGGTGCGCGCGGCCCCGCAGCTGGCCATGGCCTTCACTTTCGCTGCTTTCTGCTACATGCTGTCCCTCGTGCTGTGCGCCGCGCTTATCTTCTTCGCCATCTGGCACGTGAGTAACCGGCAGCGGCTCCTAACTCTTCTCTTTCGCCCCGTCCACCCCCTCCTTCCCGGCTTGCTCTCAAGTGCACCTGACGTGGCGCGAGCCGCGGACCCGGAGGCCAGCCGCCGCGCACCTGCGGGCTGCACCCTCGGCCGGCCCCGTCCGGAGCCAGGGGACAGTTAGCGGCATCCCGAGCCCGCGGCGCGCGCGCCCTGGGCGCCTGGCTGCTGGCGGGGGGCGGAGGGAGCGCGGGTTCCCCGGCGAGGCCCAGTGCTAGGCCCGGGGCGCGCGGCTGCACCCCCGCCTACCCTGCTCCTCCCTGCCGGCGGGGAGCGAAGGAGCGGCACCGCTGTCGTCCCGGCAATTAGTCAAGTAACTATAACAACTAAACATTGAAAATGTCAGCGTCTGCGGTGGGCTGCGTTTAGACACGTTTGCAGACAAAGCGGAAACACGACGGGAGCGCCGCTGGAGAGGGTCCGCGGCGAGCCCGGCCGGGAGGGGAGGCGGCCAGCGGCGGGGGTCGCCTGGTCGCGCGGGGAGAGGCCCCGGCGGGCGACGAGTTTCCCTCTCCTCCGCTGCCCCGGGGCCCAGCCACCCAGCCCCTGCAAGGCCCCCGCAGGTGGCAGACTCCCCGCCCCCGGCTCCCGCGGTCCACCCCCGGGCGGGCTGGGGGGCAGTTGGGGTGGGCCCCGGTTCGGCAGGTGCAGTGGGGGTCTGGGACGTGCAGCACTTCTGCATAGGGGCAGGAGGAGGCCGCCGCACAGAGATGGTGCCATACTCGGCAAACCCAGCGCCCTCAGGGCCCCCTTCTCTGAGGCTGTTTCCGCCCCCTGCTCTCGCCAGCCGGGAGCTGGTGGGAAGAAGAAGGGCGGAGGTCGGGAGTTCCAGTCGGAGTGGGGCCCCGTAGCCTCAGCGCCCAGCGAGTCCGGGGGCGGGGAAGGACCCTGGAATGGGTTCCTGGAGGCTCGACTCCGTCACCAGCGAGCCTTACAGGGCGCCTCTGCAGGGGCGGATGCCCGACCAGAAGAGTTGCAGGGTGGGTGGGATGCTGGTGTTTCATAGGAGCGGCTTCTGGAGTGAGAGGGTTTCTCTTAAGATGGAACTAAGCTAAAGCAAGTCCTGTTACCGGGCTCTTGGGGAGTGAGAACAGGGACCCCGGCAGCAGGCTAGACGCTCTCTTCCACATCCCCAAAGTGACCGTTGACCTGGGTGGTCCCCAGGCTTCCCCTTGCATCTGGATGGTGCAAGTCTGTGAATCAGTCGGTTTAGGAAGGGGGGTTGTTGGAGAAGGAATTCAGACACAGGAATTTCGGGGCTGATAAAAAATCGGGCAGCGAGAAGTGATGGGATTTTGTGGCCTCTCCTCCCCTGGCCCGGGATTCTGGGTCTAATTCTCTCTGCAGAAAGGAGCCTCGAGTTGTTGACGTTGCTAAGGGAGAGGGAAACTTTACCTAATTTAGAACAAATAGGGGTGCAGAACAGATCACGCCCAAACAGCACAGCACATACCTGCTCATGTATTTCAAAGGAGCTTCTGTGCTTCCCTGGATCGGGGGGAGTCATTTGCATTCCAGAAGGCTAACAACTCCCCCTTTTTGGGAATACTTCAGTTGCTGTTTTTTTATGTTCTTGTCTTGGCCAGAGGGTGGCAGGTAGCAGAGCTCCATCAAGCTGTCAGCACTGGGGTTCTCTGAACAAGCCCCTGGAGCAGAGCAGGTAACCAGCAAGAAGAATTTCCTCTCACTCGGGGGAAGATAAATAATTCAAGAGCAGGTTAATTAAATGGATGGTGTGTGCAGCTGGTTGACTAATAGACGTGTGAATCGAAGCCGGCAGTGGGGTGATGATCCCGTCGGCCTCCGCTCCCCAGCAATCACCCGCCTTGTCCGGGGGGTAGTCGAATGCCGATGGGTCCTGACCAGCTTCCCAGTGGGAGTGTCAAGATTCCAGTTTCTGATAAGAAAAAGAACCAGTGCTGTTTGAATTCCGATTACAATGAGCATGGCCAAGTCTCTATCCTCTGTTCTTTCCTGCGTCTTTTCCTTCCCCGTCTCGGAATCAAACAGCCCAGAGCCTCCCCATGTTGATTTGGCTCCTGAGCATTGAAAGGGGAAATCAATGCGAATGTTGTGTGTGTGGGTGTTGCCTATATGGTGGTAATTACTTCCACGAAAATTTAGGCTGTGTGTTTGCTTTCTTTCTGGCTTCTTATCTTCCCTCCATATTTCTTGATCTGATAAGCCATATTGATTGCTTAGCATATATTAACATCGCTGGGAATGCATTGGGCACTTAGCAACATACTGCAGTTAAAAAGCCTGCCCCATCGCCATGTGCTGGCTGTAAGACAGGAAGACAGCACCTTTTTCTTACTTACCTTCCTAAAGGTAATAATAGTAGCTACCACTTAATGACCGTGACCAGCCGGCGAGTTCTAGGCTCTCAGTGAGGACCTGTCAGATGTCCCTCCGGTGTTTACTCCCCCCCCCCCCCGGAGTGGATGTGGCCATACACACCTTGCTTTCAAGTCTCATGTTTTACTTTGAAAATTTATTTGCATCTGTTTTCTTTTTTTTTTTTTAAGATTTTTTTTTTTTTTAATTTATTTTGA